GTCACCAAGACAGAGCTATGTCTTAGCCGAAATACCCGTTCTAGTGGATACCTTGTACTTGACATATCCCCGTGGGTGGCAACCGGAGTTCAGTTCGTTTGTGGTATTTGTTTTGGGGAACGGAAAACAAACTCAAAAGAAACATCACCAACCAGATATCTAATCTGGTTTCAGGTGAGTACAAGTGAGTGTACTAGCCTAAGTTGGCGAAAACGGGGCTCAGTGAGAATATAAGGTTAGTGGAAACTCGGGGTTTGGGCAAGCCTGGTAGGTCCCAGGTAGGACGAAACCGATCGTGGGCCGTCGAAAAGTTTTACACAAAATTATTGGTAGTTTACTGCTTCTAAAATGAGCCTAGTGACAAGAAATCCTGATAAAATCTTGACGGCTTTTCCTCAGTCATGCCGTAAAACACTTGCAGTTAGTTACAGGCCCATTTTACACTTTTTACGTTTGCAGCGAAGAATTTTTCAAACCAAAGTCCTTTTATTGAGTATTTTCACAGTCGCTTACACACAAATTTAAGCAGAACTTGTCATCGAATTAGAAATGTTTTGTGCGCTGTATCTGCGTCAGTTTCGGAAAAAATCATCTCAATACGGAGGTTTCTGGCAGAATAGTATTACATGGACTGGTTAATTTCACAAGACTATAGCTTGCGGTAGCATTCAGTGAAATCTCTCAACGAAAAATTACTCTTCATTTGTAACAACTTTTAGTGCACAGCCGCAACAAGACTCTAACAGGGGGACTCAAATATCGCCAGGCTGCTCAAGTCTAGATAAATTTATTCAAAATGTCAGGATTGGCTCGAATCACAGAACTTCCGGTGATTAGTTTCACTTCTTAACCACTGAGCTATGTCAAGTGCGGAAATCGGTATTCCTGGAAGATTATTTGACTTGGAGACCTGGTTGTACTAAATTCCACTCGTATCATTTACTGGTAGAAATATTCAGCTATGGTTGCTTAAAATGGGCTGAAACCTCAAGAGGAAATCTGGATCCGGATCTTGCCCCCGAATTTAAAACCAGGATACTCTCAATTTGGCGTCATATATTTGATCACAGTGAAGCATCATAACAGGTAGCAATTTGTGATTCTTCCCTGACAGTTTTGATTTCCAAATGCTAAAAATTCCGACCGTCCTTGGCTAGTAGCTGCAAACGAACTAGTGTGACGGCGTTCTTATTTTGACTTGAAAGCGATGGGTGTGATAGAAACGAAAAAAAATCTTAAGACAATTTTATTTACTCATATACTCACAACGAAACTCGGTTTGTCAGGAAGTTAAAGTTTTTGACGTTGATCACAGTAAAAAAAAAACACGAATACAATCTAACAGCGGGTGGTCATTAGAAATGGAAGCAACTGAAAGGCTTAACCTCACTATTGCAGAGGCGAGGCGGTTGCTATTAGGCTTTCAGTGTGAACTCCTCCGCTATTTTTTACTGGGAAGCAGAGTGAAAACGATCTCCCAGGTATATGTGAAATGCACTAATCATAAGGTTGCTGAAGAATTTTCGACCGCCTACGACCGGTTTTGTCCTTCTTGAAACATCACAAACGAGAAATTCAACTGTGTCCCAGGTGAGTCTCTCGCAAAATCAAATTTGTTTGCGACTGAGTATATTTCGTTGGTTTTGCAGGCACTTGTAAGCCGTCACCGTATCCTTTCCCTCACTGCCAATTTTTCATGCGTCTTGACGGCGTTGACAAGAGCGGCCTTGAAAATTAGTGACCCGCATCAACGTAATCCTGATGCGGTCGTTGAACTCATCCTTATCATCCTTTTCAAACATTTGTGATGGTCCACTGCGCATTGAGCGCACTCAAATGGTGAACACGAACATCCATTTGACAGAACTAAGGAAAGTGTACTGAATTTTCTCATAAGAAAATTGTTTTGCGATGCTGAATTCAGCACGCAGTATTGTGATCCAAAATTTGGTGGTCCAAGGAAAAAGCGTTTCAACTGGCGAGGATTGTATTTGGTAGAATCAACAGCTCTTTGAGGCTGACACTCATGAGTTGCCCGAAACAGTGCTCCCATGGACATGGATAGGCAAAAAACGACGCTGTCGGGTTTCATACAGGACTGAGTTAGGCTTAGTTCTATGAAAATAATAAATTTGCGTCTTCATTGGCTGGTATGATCAACATGGTTCTTATCAAGCTATGCAACATATGTCCGCTGCGCATGTTAAGGGAGGGTTGAAGGTTTAAACATTTTGAAGATTTACACTGGGTTAGGTAGAAAAGAAAAGGCCAAAAAGGGCCTAAAGAATCTATCGTGGGAAGATCAGCGACATAAAAATCCTTTTCTGAAGTGCTAAGACTGACCTGTGCACAAGAAGTTTATTATATTTAACATATCTGAAATACCTAGTGGCAAGCACAATCCGTCTAGATGCATAAGAGCTGCTTAAAAAGTGTTTTTATCAGTATTACTTAGAAGCGAGACCAGCTGAACTTCCAGAAAACCCTTCAAGGCTAAAGTCTTCCAAAACCTCAAGAAAAAGCAAAACAAATGGAGTTTTCTGATAAAAGTATGCACAATACATGGAAGAAGAGTAAAAGACAAGGTATTTAAATGAATTCTGCAATTTGGGGCGCGCAAATGCCCCAAATGAGAGAACACGTTATAAGTGGATTAGAAAGACTGGTGGAAAAAAGCAAAGTGCTTTCGTGTTTGATTAACAAACTTATAAAGGGCCGAGGCAAATACAGTCTCCAGAGAAAACTGAGGTAAATGTCCTTGTTCAAAATTCGTTCAGCTGTAACACTCTTCTGGAATCTAGCTGCCATGTCACCCAAAGGAAGCACGAGATCTGGGATACCGCCAAGTTGCCAAAGCCAAGACAAGGAAAGTCGACAGGCAGAAGTTGGGTTCGAACCACGGACCTTCCGGTCCCAACATCTTTTTCCAGGAGTTCCCTATAGATTGCTAACTCAGCCTATAATGAATCACATTGGACGGCTGACTGAATGCTGGTTTGTTGAGAAAAGCTAGTGGTTTAGTTAGACTCAGTTGAATTATGGTCAAATTATATCATTTTGAAGCCTCATTTGTTAAGCTAAAACTTGGCACAAGTTAATTAAGACGACTTATAGCTCCCATTCCCCACCCGAACATGATTTCCCTAGCAAGCGAAGGATTTCAAGGAAAAACAGTATTTTGCCTGCTGTGTGCTGCCCACTACTACGTTGCCGTTGAAATTGTAGGGTTCCAAGCACCGCAATACGAATTTACATTGCAACTTTCTTTTTAACTTTGTCTAGGTCTCTTAGCAATAAACGCCCAAATCGACGTTGAAGGTTGCAGCAGCGCCTATTGTGCAGGTTTCCACAATCACACTAGTTCTATATCAGCGGACACCAATCGACACCAGATCAAGCGCTTGGATTATGAAGGTGAGCACTATGTAGCACATGTAAACTGCACTTTTTCATGCTCAGTATCATCTTCTTTTTTCCCACCGTTATCAGTCGTATCGCTGTACGAAAGTTTGTTTTACTGAGATACAACCGCTACCGCCCGCGCGTTGGCTCCAACGTGACTTTGAGACTTTTACTGAGTGACTGTTGTTGTGACCGCCGGCTGGCTATATTTGACCGCTGCTAACACTAAACGTGAACAAACATTTTAGCTAAAAACACTGGACTAGTATATTCACACTTGTGGATTAATATTTCAATCACCAGAGATCTGGAATACAGGAGGACAGAACTATTCTTGGTGTGGTGGTTCAACGGAATATGAAACTACGGAATCTCATTTTGAACTGTGAGTCAAGATTTACTTGTATTTTTCTCCCTGTGACTTTGTATCTGGCCTAGATAAGTAATTTCTCTGTTCACTAGAGACTCCGTAAGGCCGTTAACCACTACGACAATATCTGCTGGTCAATGGTAACATTTTCCTGGATCCTAAACCCTGCTCTTGGATAAGAAATTTTAGGTGCGTCGGGCTCCCATATTGTGGTCACTGTTGTGTAACAGAAGGTCCTAAGCACTCAACCAATCACCCAATAAACAGTTAGACGTATTTCATTTGCCCATCTGCGGACAGTGTAATGGATCATACAATCCACTCGAGTTGTATACACAATGATTTCCAACCAAATCAGGTTTATTTTTCTCCCTGTGACTTTGTATCTGGCCTAGATAAGTAATTTCTCTGTTCACTAGAGACTCCGTAAGGCCGTTAACCACTACGACAATATCTGCTGGTCAATGGTAACATTTTCCTGGATCCTAAACCCTGCTCTTGGATAAGAAATTTTAGGTGCGTCGGGCTCCCATATTGTGGTCACTGTTGTGTAACAGAAGGTCCTAAGCACTCAACCAATCACCCAATAAACAGTTAGACGTATTTCGTTTGCCCATCTGCCGACAGTGTAATGGATTATACAATCCACTCAAGTTGTAAACACGATGATTTCCAATCAAATCAGGTCCAGCATAATTTGGTGCACCCTGGTTTGGCCGAAATGAGGAAATTACTGTGAACGGATTCCAAAACACGTCTGAAGGCTGGCTAAAGAATGGAGGTTCAAATCGAGACGTTTCTTCAGTCGTATGGTGCGCCATATGCCAGCTGACTGACTTTTTCAAAAATTTCGTTTGGCACAACGACGTTTAGGGTGGAAACGAGCCGGAGGCGGTCAAATAATGACTTGGCAGTGAAGTATAAAAGCCACTACCAGCAGGCTTAGCTGCACTGGTCATTGCCGTCCTCCTAGATGGGAACCCCGAGACGGGCTACACCAATGATTAGGGACTGTCAGACATGGCCCTGTCGCGTCCTCAATAGCGCTAATGCATCCAAGCTATTGCCTTTATTGCATAGTTACCCTTTAATCCCCCACTTGACAGTCCACTGACAGTGCTATGCTTACGTGCAAATTTCTCAGCCCGCCTCTAATACTCAGCTATCTACCCCACCCCACCCCCAAAAAAATAATCGGTGAGCAAAACTGTGGCAGCTACAACCACTGTACGACAAGCATGCGGTTTTTAGGCTTTCAATGATTATGATGACGTATTATGATTCTGTTTGAAGAAAATAATATACTTCACAAAAGTGGCTTCTGGTAGAATTTGCTTAAAAACCAGCTGAAAAGAAAAGCGAACAACACATTCGAATTATTTATGAAGATCATGACTTGTTATATCATGGCATTTTTACTTACATCGTCGGTCGAAAACTGGTTATAATACTGTATATAGTGGTGTGGATCTGCCAAGCTAATACTCTGCTTTGGAAAAGATCAATGTCCGCCACCATGAGCAAATAAAAAAATTAGAATTGTCCAGAAGCAAGCAACCATACCCGAGGTTATGAATGAAAATGTAGATACGCCGCAAGCCAATTCTTCATGTGCCACCCCTATAATTTAGCTCAGTCAGAATTCTAGTACTGTTATGTTTCTGAGCTTGTGGTAGCTCAGTGGTGAAAGCGTATACTTACTTCCTGGAAATTCCGTGGTTTGGATCAAGCGCGGCCTCCATGTTTCGGCAACCTGGCAGTAACTCAGCCGCCGTTTCTTTTGGATAACATAGCATCTGTACTCCTAGAGGGTATAACAGCTGAACATTTACTAATATTACTTTATCTACTTGAGTTTCCCAACATTCTGTGGCTGATTCACACAACGCCTCGAAGATCGCTGCGGTAAATAGGTACCACATTTCTACCGCGTGTCCAGTTTTCATACCAGTTCAGAAAATGTTATTATTTTGCGGCATCACTAAATCATCACTGTCGTTGGCGTTTATTGTTGTGACAAAAAACAAATATAAAGTAATGTGTTGGTATGTGCTTTAAAGAGATTCTAACTCTCTCTGAGTCTATATTCAATGGGAATTATGAGCCACAGAAAGACAACTGCCGCCCGTGAACATAGTTGCCTGTGGGCTAACAGCACCGACATGTCTGTATTTTAGGAAAAAGCCATTGGAATGTCAGTGGGGTGCCTGTTACCCTAAGGTACCAGTTTTGCAGTGGGATAGACTAGTGTACCTGAAGCGCGGGCTCTTTGAGCAACACTGCCAGCAACGTGTTTCCACTTCAGAGGACTTCCTCATTTATGCCTTTTCAGGCTCCAAATATTAACATGACACATGCCTCAATGTGCGCTGATTATATTTACAACACAGAGTTCTTTTTGCCACAAGATCAATCATGCTGCGTTTAAATATTTACAATGTATTTATTGGGCCAGATGAGGAATCCCGCAATCTACATTACCGTTCATACGCTGTTGCGCCTGAAAACTTTATTATTCTACTCATCAAGAATGCCTGAGCTGGCCAAAAGTAGTTAGAGGAAGTAACTTCAAATAAAAGCGCCAGAATTTTGGGGGAATAACAATTTTTGAACAGTAAATCCAATGAAAGCCTCTAAACCAGCGTTACAAATGGAGATAAAAGTGACGGACCTTAGGATTGTTATAGAACTTGCCGGGCCAAAAATGTGACTAAACGGCAACAAACCTGAATTTTCAATCGAATAATCGATTTCACCGATACAAACCAGTTAACCTCCTTACATTTGGAGGTTTTTGTTCAGGTAAGCTGTAGTTTTTGCAAAAATCATGGTAAGGACGGCGTTCTAGAATTTAGACTAATTTGCGGGTTTTGTCCTAGGCAGGTCTCCCGCTTCAGCAAGGCCTCACCAAAGGTTGACTGCTATTCACTCCAAATTTTTAATAATGTGCCCACAGTTTGCCATTGGCCTCCAGTTATTCAGCATCATTTCCCTATTGTTGGTGATTTTGATGGAAATCTTCATTACAGGGCCCGGAGCTATTCCTATTTGATGTTTCTGTGGAGTAGATGGCCAAAAGCCAAGATAGGCTACGGTTACTCTTCTAAACGATTGCGAGAGCTTTCGAGATGAAAAGGACGGCTACATAATTAAGTACTTAGAGTTTCTCAAACTGATTCTGAATAAACTTCAAGCTGTGCTTTAAATCTAAGATTACGCAAACACTGATTTTTATTGTTGTTTGCAATACCCTGGAAAAACGCTTGGGCCGGTGGAATGAAACAATTGTGCTTTAAAAGCCTAAGACACAAACTGATATAGTGTACTAAAAATAATTGATCCATGGTTCATGGAAGGAATAAGGGAACACTTTCGTCAAATAAAAGACCGTTCAAAAAGATGCAGCCTGTTAATCAACTAGCTCCTGATAAAACTAAATTATTGTCTTGGTTAGGTGAAAATTTTTCAGAATTTGTTCACGAAGCTATTTCGCTCTTTCCAGCTGTAAAAATGCTGACTGACATTATTATCACTAGAAAGTTACAGTGAGACAATCCAGCTCTGAAAGTATCAAATTATCTCCCATAACGACGCCACTAGACCCTTTGTATAACTTACTCGGTTGGGAAAAAGAAGCTGTGTCCCTGTAAAAAAAGAAGTGGGTCATATACTGGGAAGAAGTAAGTCAGACCTTATTTCCACTTAGGATGACGTTATTCACACAAGGCAGTCGCACCTGTGCTGTATTTATTAGTCATCAAGATACAGGATAATGACAAGGGGACACTTCTGCTTCGCATATGCTGCGATAAATTCTGCGCCATCAATGAATGGGATCCCTTGGTCATCGATGAGCAAATGTCATCAGAATTGGGCATTCTAGATGAAAATGAGCTATTTTTAGCTGTTCTCGTGTAACAAAATTTACTGCATTGCTCACAATATGCCACTACATTCCTGATGATAAAAGCAGTCAAGATCATCTGCATTAGACTACGGCGCTTCTCTGGATGGTTTTTGTGATACAAAGGGCAGACCTCTGATAAAATGAAACTAGTTTAGCAAAGACTGATGGATACAGACCTATGTACATTCGCCTTCAGGATGCTGGTTATTTTCGCTTGTCAGAAAAAATCTTTTCAGTCTCCACACGGGTTAACATTTTCATGCTCAATGTACATTCGCCTTCAGGATGCTGGTTATTTTCGCTTGTCAGAAAAAATCTTTTCAGTCTCCACACGGGTTAACATTTTACTTCATGCTCAATAGTTATGAAACCACTTAATTTTCTTAACCATAGCTGGTTTATGCTCGGTCAGCACACAGTATTTTCATCTGCATCATACAATACGTCTGTCACTTTGTAGTTTACATTGAGTTATTGACGACTGGTCTCGCACTGCATACCAAATTTTTACTGTTTATTATTAACACATGCCCTTCTTGTTTTCCGAAAACCACCCTTGGGCCGTTTCATGTAGCACTTGTAAACTGCTCTTTTTCATGCTTAGTGTCATCTTTTTTCCAACCATTATCAGTCATATCGCTGTACGAAAGTTTGTTTTACTGAAATACAACCGCTACCGTTCGCTTGTTCGGTCCTACGTGACTTTGAGACTTTTGCTGAGTGACTGTTATTGTG